AAAGAGCAGGAGAACATAGAGGGAACATTCAAGGTGGTTTAGGCTGTTTTGCATGGAGAAAAAGTTGATCAACTTAAAAAACTTAATTAGCAGAGTTTCCAAGTTGTACAGTTAAATAAGACAATAAGTAAATCAGCATTTCAGAANACACATTGGTCCCTTGAGATCATCGAACTCATTTACAAGGGAGACCTGCATCTTTTAGTTCCACATGAAACATACAAACAACATACAAACAAACAACAGAGGATATCATATTTACATATTCAACATTTACAAATACCCAGAGTGTCAGAAAGCATTTCATTTAGACGTGCCTTAAATACATTCAGAGAAATAAAAATGCTCAATTTCAATTTTGCCTGTAGACTGTTCCAAGCAAGTGGAGCTGCGCACATAAAATCTGTCTTACCTAAGACAGTCCTTACTCTTTGCACATCTAACAAAACTATATCCTGCGATCGCAGACAATAGCTTCTTGATCAACTTAAAAAACTTAATTAGCAGAGTTTCCAAGTTGTACAGTTAAATAAGACAATAAGTAAATCAGCATTTCAGAAATAAAACTATACAACTTGAATGAATGAATGTCTTAGATGTCTCTAGGTGTTTTCCTCAGTTAACCATTTCTACCACTTAGAGGTAATTCAAATGCAAAAAATAAATGTATGTCTGAGTTTGCAGTGCCACAAATGTATCTTAAAAGGGCACTTATGTTAACATACAATCATATGTTAATTTAAATCACATTTTGTCTGTTTCCTAGCATGATACACATAGCAGGTATTTCGACTTGTTTTACTTGGAAGCAAACATAACAAAGGAAGAGAATTTAAACATTTTTATCCCAGAAATCTCCTCTTACATCTGTATGGATTACAGTATATAGGTTATGGTGGCATGTGATATGTAACTTTTAGGAGAAAACATTCTACATTTTTAGGTCAAACTGACAGAAACTCTACACTTTGCTCTGATACTTTAGTAAATACATGCAAACGAGGATATATTTGAGAGAATGTTGGCTTTAATTTCTGTTATTTAACATTTGGCTATGTATATTAAGAAAAATTACTATTTCTAAGCTTTTAATGCAATTCTTTTTTTCTGAGGCTGCCATCCTCACCTTTATTCAGCCCAAATGTAAAGTGATGTTATTCACTTATTGATCCAGCTGGCCTGATTGCTTTGTCTGTAAAGCCACCCGATCTTTACTTTTCTTGTCTCTTGTTGGTCTGTTTGTTTGTTGACACCTCATGAGGTCTTCTGTTTAATCAGTGATTGACACCTCACCTCCTTTTACATTGTTTCACTTCAACTTACACTTCAGGTCCTCTCAGCTCTCACATTTTTCCATTTAGTGAAAACATCTGTTGTCTCGTCTAACTCCCAAGCTTTCACTATTCATACAGTTTCAAATCCTTTTCTTAGAGCTGCACAATACATCGTTTTTATCAAACCCAACACGAGAAAGACTGCGATTTTGCAAGCAAGGACTTTTACACGTGGTTAAAAATACCACTTTTAAATGTTACTATTACTCTTTTTATTGGTGCCTTTGGTGTTTAGTTCGTTGGACATCTTTTTGAAATTTAACAAGCTATTTGTTACTTTGAGAAATAAACTGAAAACAGCAGTGAGACCTGAAGTTCATATACTTTAATGTCTGTTTATTTATTGCAAGTAATATCATTATTTGCAATATTCAACCCTGGTATTGCCCCTTTTTCTCATATTTTGCAGGCTTGATTTGAACTTTTATCCTCTCTTAGTTAGTTATTCAACTTTTAACATATTGTTTTACACTTTAACTGGCACTACAGGACTTCCATACGTCTCCAGCTCAGTATGTCTACTTATCCCACTGCTAATTGTCCATCGTGATCATCACACGCAGGATTGACTAGTTTGATGAGTGAGTTGTCTCGTCTCTTCAGCTTTTGAGTCTGCTCTCTCTGTTTGTTGACACCTGATAAGGTTTTCTATTGGCTCTTCACCTCCATGCATTTTAAAGCTGGTTACAAAATGTGTGTGTGTGTGTGTGTGTGTGTGTGTGTGTGTGTGTGTGTGTGTGTGTGTGTGTGTGTGTGTGTGTGTGTGTGTGTGTGTGTGTGTGTGTGTGTGTGTGTGTGTGTGTGTGTGTGTGTGTGTGTGTGTGTGTCCTGCTGTCGTAGCTGCTGCTTTGGTTTTAGACCCACTGACTTGTGGTGATTGCGGAGGTGACACGTTGAAGTGTTGGTGGTGTAAACAGACAGGTGGAGTGTGTGTGGTTTGCTGTTTGTTCAGTTCTCTGAGAGACGGAGGTGTTGGACTCTCTGAACAGAGGAACAGAGGCTGGAATGCGAGTCAATTAAAAGCCAACACAAATAACCCTTTCATCAAGCCCACACACACACACACACACACACACACACACACACACACACACACACACACACACACACACACACACACACACACACTGCATACCTCTGGTCATGTGACAGATAATCCAGATTGTAGCATCGACACACTCGGGGTGGAAAATGTTTCCAGCGTGTTCAACTTCTGTAATCTTGATTTAATTGAGTTCATTTCTACATTCTTTATATTGCCTTAAGGGGTTAAAGAAATACAAAGTTAAGTGTACATTTTGGCAACTGCCCCCACGCCCAGAGGGGCCATGTTTGTGGTACTTTGATTTAATGCTAATGTTGTAATGGAATTTGTGCTACTAAAGAAGAATAACAACGTAAATTATTATCCCCGCCAAACAGCTTATTATTTTCATTATGGTTTGTTTGTTTGTGAGCATGACTACCAGCTTGATTTTCTTTACACTCAGTGGAAGGGTGTAGCACGGGCCACAGAAGACCTCATTAACATTTTGAGTAGATCCAGATCTTGGGCGGGTACACAAGTTATTCTTTTACTTTTGATATTATTTTGAGATAAAGTATTTTGCCTTGGTGGAGGTCTGCGCTCTCCTCCATTATAACTAATGATTTGGCCATGTTTAATATAACTTCCCATTGCCAAATTTAGTTTAAAACTTTGATTATTTAGCGTATAATCACTATTGGGTTGCCGTAATTGCTACGATGATACATTGGAGTACTGGTTGATTTGGCTTTCTCTCCAGAAACTAGGGTTGGGCAATCATTTATTTTTTCATATCTTCCAATTGTGGTACCTTAAAGTCTAAGATAAGCAAACTGGAGTTACGTCACAGTAAGCCAGTTTGTGTTTGGTGATACGATGATGGGTTTTAAGATGCCAAATGTGAGTTTATATATATATTAAAGAACAATGACCAGTACCAGTGAAGAACATGCCTACAACACATCTATTTGCACACATTCAAATCACCATCTGTCAAGGCTTTATTACAAAGTGTACATATGGCTGAGTCCTTACAGCAGGGTTCGAGTCAAAAACAGCAAAAAAGGGTAAATGAATAAAGCCAAGAAATCTATTTAACAGCAATGTCTCCATTATTTAAACAAGGACTCTCTTTGAAAAGTCTGTGCTTGTTGTGACAGTATCACAGCATCATTTAACTTAACCACTTTGACCTTTAATATAACTTATATAATTAACCCTCACTATTCAAAGGGAAAGCATAGCAGGCATTTGGAGAACAGAGATGCAGACTATTTTCCCTTCACTAACGTTTGATTAATTAGCTCAGTAAAGATTTGCTCCAGCAGCTGAACCTCTTCCTCGCCCTGAATCATCCACAGAGTCTCTTTCCTCTGAGTTGCATCACATCACCATTTGTTTCTCATCCTCCTGTTAAAACATGCAGACCACACAGATCTCCCCTCTACAGGAAGTCACCGGGACATCTCGAGGGTCGCCTTCATGGTTCTCGTTATTTCAGACGCTGCAGGCAGAATGTGCTTAACTCTGAGCAGACATTTAGATGAAAACAAAGACATAGGTTTGTTGTTGGAGGGTAAAGGAGTGGAACAGTGTTCTCCTACAGGACAGGAAGTGAATGGATGCTGCAGTCCGGTTGGTTTTACCCCTCAGGCACTAATAATGAATCTCTTTGGCCAACACTTGGTCCATAAAGTATTTCTAAATACTATTCAGTTACACGTTTCATACCAAAGTTGACAACTGTTAAATGTTCTGTCAACACAAGCAGTTCTTCAAGAGCACTCCTTAAAACTCTCAATGTTTAGATTTTGAGTGTTTAAAGATTTAGACCACACATACAATGCAGTCTTCCAGTATCAGTACAGTGTTTTGTACTATGGATACCTTTTGGTCAGTCTTACAAAGAGTATTAGGGTTTTGCTTATTTTTAATAACAGCTGGTTGTCAAATTCCATAATACCGTACAGTTTTTCATACCTACTTGTAAGAATAGTAGAAGATGTCATGAAATCTAATGTCCAAAGTCATACTGAAGAGAGAATGAACCCATTTTATTTTGAAATCTGTAAATAAAATGGATTCATGAAACTGGACCAGGTTCAGGCCAAACATGAGATTTAATGACAACAAGATAAAAAAGAATGTCGGATTGGTCCTTTAGTTAAGGTAAAAAAAAGTTTTATATCGTAGGCTGTAATGAACCACGATATCACTTGCGATCTTTAATACTTAAATATACAACGTCAATATCCTTCTTCTTTGGTTCACTGCCAACATGTGGGGAGAAACTGAAAAAAATAGTGAAATGCATTATTACCATTCCAACCAAAGTGGTGTTATCGTTAATTATTTAACAACCCCTTAGAGAGAAAGTCTTAATGCCTTAATTTATCACATTTCAAGCAGTATTTACGAAATGTTCATATCGCACTTACGAAAAATGTTCTTTATATAATGTAACTTAGCCCCTACAGTTCTGCAGGTTTGAACACAAAAACAACAAGAGCATTTGTAATAATGGAGCTTTTCAGAATAAAATGCCTCGAAGTCTTGGGATGGTCTCACACTGTGAAGCTCTAATTGGTTGCTGTGAGTCTGCAGTCCATAAAGGACCCGCCCCCCTCTTTAAAGTTTCTCCACCTACCCCCCTAAAACAGGGACATCCTGTCGGTCCCCAGTAATTAACAGCACTTCAGCGACGCTCCTCCAGCTTCCTTTTATACACTCAATCTGACGTCAGGTAGGGAAACACTGAAGGGTTGATCATAAAATCACATCTCTTGGCTGGGCTCCAGCTGCTGCTGTTGAGGGTCTATTCCTCCGTAGGAAGTGGAGGGTCCTCCGCAGAGTTGGCACATCTGGGAGGTATAGACGCGAGACATCTGTCCTCCAAAACCAGATGGCAATACTCCGTGTGTTTCCTCCCTCTGCTGTTCTCACACTGATAACGGTGATCTCAGGCGTCTGACATGCGTGATGTCAGAGACGTTCTGGCAAGTTTCCACTGAGGTCCTCAAACACTGCATGCATTATTATTACATGTACACACTGGTGATTCACTGTGGAAATATGCAGCAGAGAATCCAACATGTAGGCTTCAGGAAACTATTTTCATGTCTTATTGCATAGATTAATAACGTGCAAACTAATTATCATTATTACAAACTAATGACTAAAGCTCATTAGCTCAAAAACACCCTTTTAGTTAATATGTAGGTGGTGTGATTCAACACACTTATACATATTTCATATACAATGAAAGTGAAAACATTTTCTGTGGGAAGTGTGATCAAAGTAGATGTGTGTTTGCGCTCCATGCACAGTAAAAAAACATGTGGATAGAAACGTGTGTTCTAATAAAAAATGAGATGAGCGTCTGATTTGATTGAATTTAGGAGAGAAGGTTTCTCTACTAAAGTATATGTGCTAATCCAAGATAGTAGAATGTATTTAGGTGTGTTTTCTCTAAATGTTTGCAATTTTTTGTACAAATTTCCACACAAATAGATGAATTTGTCCGACATGTGTGATGACAGCGACGTTCTGGCAAGTTTCCACTGAGAAGTGCATGCAGGTCCTCAAACACTGCATTTATTATTATTATTACATGTACAAACTGGTGATTTACTGTGGAAAATATGCAGCAGAGAATCCAACATGTAGACTTCAGGAAACTATTTTCATATGTGTTATTGCATATTTTAACCCTCTGAGACCCACATAGGACATTTCCGTTTTTGTATGTTTGTGTTTTGCCTTATAAATTGTCATTTCTTTACAATATAATCAAGTTTTACACATCCCAGAAATCAGCACAACCTCAGCTAATGATATATGTCACTCATTAGAGACTTATACACACCATAATAGGGGATATTTGCCCATAAATAAAGAATGGAGCTTGAATCTTTTACTTATTTCATTAAAAATAACTGCTAACCATAACATTGAAAGAAACATTCAACACAGACGATTGCACACATTTATTATCATTGTATCAGAACTGATTAGAAGATTCTAACTGATTCTGTTCATTAGTTATGCCCATTCTTTCGGGCAGTGTCCATGAGCGTTCTTTTGCCAGGAATTTCGCCAGGACGTTTTGTTCAGCCGGATAATATCCACATGTCTACCCTACTTTTATAATTTTCGAATCATAAATCTAATCTAATTTGTGTTAACCACAGACCTTATTTCGAGCTATTTTCCAAAATCCTATGGAGAATTTGCACTGGTTTTTGTCGAAGGAACTGGAAGGAGTTTACTTCCGGGTTTTAGGACGCGTGATTGTGCGCACCTGGGGCCCTGGGTTGTCCCTCCCCCCTCACCTGTGTCTAATTGTTTTCCCTCACCTGTGTTCGATTCCTCTGTGTATTTAAGTGCTGTCTTTTGTTGTGCTGGAGTCAGTGTGTGTGAGATCCTGGTGGCTGCAGGCTGGGCTCACGTGAACAGCAGCAGCAGCAGGATTGAGGCTGTGTGTAATATGTTCATATTTTAATAAATGCCCACGTCGGGTTATATTTTTGGACGTTCTGCCTCTGCCTCCTTGCTTGGTCGGGCCGCTCAACGGTCAGTCTCACACTCTGGCTCAAACAGCTGAGAAGTTATGACGCTTTGAACACAACGTGATATTTGGGATCGTATACGGCCCCGTGGGTCTCAGAGGGTCTGTA